TCCCGTCACGCCCCCTCCTCCCCCCCTCCTCCCCCCCTCCTCCAGTTCCTAGTCAGTATCCCTCCTTTCTTCCTCAAATTTGTCATATGATCATGGTTCCTGCTATTCCTGGTCTAATTTTTCGTTCCTCCTCCTCCTTCGTAACGCATCAGGCGCCGCCTACGCCCACGACATCCCGCAGAACCAAATGGTGTGCTACAGAATGCCACGCTGGCCTCGCATCGCGCCACACCGTTTGCCCCTTGATGGAAGTCGACGACCGAGATTGACCTTCGATGGTCTCGGACCGGGCCCAGGAAAGAAACAGTTGACGCAAGTTAGGCGTGAATTGAGTGCTGCCCCTGGTTCCACTCCACACCTCCTATTCAATACTAGATGTGGATGACAGCGCACTAGATGTAACGAGCAGGTCACTGGACATGATGGTGCAGTGGGAAAGAAAGGCTAGCTGAAACAGTGCAAGGACCCTACCGCCCGAATGGGGAGGGCCGCCCTATCCAAATATGCTATGGAACCGTACTCCCACCCCATGCGCTGAACCGACACACATTAGCCTCTGATGGTGGAATACATGTAGCTTAGCTGCCGTACCAGAGCGACCCTCGCATCGAGTGTCAAAGGCTTTCTCGATTAATGTGAGCCCCCAGCCAAGAAGGGTAAGTGTGACATCTCTGGCAGGGCAAGCCCGTGCCGCATTGGGTCTCTGGTGGCCTCGGGGCCCATGTGTCGGGTGTTGCGAGAAGTGGTCCTGACTTAAGGTGCTCCACGCTTTTCGTGCCATGTTTGGGGCTTCTGGGGCACTCTGGGTCTCGTGAGGAATGCTCTGGAAGCCATCTGCGCTCCTTGGGAAAGATGGAGTCACTTTGGGCCAGAGCCACTCCTAGCAACATCCGAACGTGGCACCTACGCTCGAGGCAGCGCCTCATCATAGCTCGATAATCCAGAACCCCGCCGAAAAACAACTGGGATACGTTTTTGGGACGGGTCTGTGTGCACCGATGGGCCTATCAAACCGGCTGCGTTTCGCTCATAGCTTTCTCTGGGCGCCTCCATGGCTCTAGTCAAACAGGGCTAGGAGGACGCACCACGAACAGCTAGCTGATGGAGAGCAACATGCGAAACCAACTGTGAATTCGGAGTGCTGTGAGGAAGAGAACATCTAAACCACACCACCGTCCGTGAGACCAACTGTATACTAAAAGCGGCTTAAGCTTCAGCCCCTAAGCGACTTCTCTGAGGCTGCTTAGAACAGCAAGGCCAAGTACCACATTCGGCATGCCGCCCTGGCCTCCGAAGAATGCCCCCCCAAGACACCCATACATGGTCTACATGCGGGAAACAACTCTGGATGCCACCCTCGCTCAAGAGCGGGACCAACGAGTGACCTTTTGGTGCCCCCGTGTAATCCAGCCAGCCCAACACATCTCCCAATGCGGCAAGTTCATGAGGCGTCGGTGTCTGACGCCGAGTGGATTAGCCTTGAACCAGGACGGCTTCCTCAGAGGCTCGATCCTTCGATCTCGGCCGATTACGGGCCGCTGGCGGTGTTCACCCTCGAACGCCTGCGCTGAGGCTGCCGCCGCGTGGACGCGGCGCAGCATGGCCTGAGCTGCCCGTGCCGCCAGAGGCCGAACACGCACGCGGCCGAACGGCTTCGGAGGCGCGATGTGCAACTCCAGGCCGCGCGAAGAGGGGAGACCTCACCGCAAGAGGAAGCAGGCGTGCAGGGCGGCGCTGGCGTGCCGTCCTGCGCGCGCGAACCGCGCCGATGCGAGAGCCGCGCACCCGCTCCGACACCGAGGGGATGTTGAGCATCGTTTGACCTATCACTGTCCTCACTGGCGTGGCCTGGGCACCACTGGCCGATTTCTCCCTAGATGGAGAGATAGGCTGTCCCCCTCGGGTTTTGAAGGGCATATCTCCAACTGGGGCGGTGGGATGGTGAGGATCGGGATGAGAACGGGGATGCAGATCGGTTAAGCGATACTGGGATGTGCCGGCGCCATTTTTCTGCCCTGCCTCTTCGGCCCACACTCGGGCACGAGCGGGGCGCCCGACTCAGAGGCCGGGCCTGCCCGCTCACGGCGCCCAGACGCCTCGATCGCCGCTGCCCGTAGTGGGCGGAGGCGTACATGGCTCCAGGGTGGTAATTCTGCCGTGGGGTGTGGTATGCCTTCGTTCCCTCTCCGCCTGGCGCTCTCCGCCCCTCGGCTTCCCCCTGCTCATCCTCCTGCTTATCCGCCACCTCCTCTTCCAATGTACGCTGTGACACGCGTCGACGCAATTGGAAGGAATGGTTGGGAAGGGTAGGATGTCAGATATGGCGCGAGGCACCCCGTCCGCCCTCCCCTGCCCCTTCACATCCCCTTACTCGGTGTCCACTCCTAGAGGAACAAACAACGGCATAACTTAAACACAAGCTTCGGAGACCCGCGCAGATTTCTTGGATCGACGCTGGAAACCCTCTGGCGGCGCCTCCGACGCCAGGGAGGGGGATCCACCAGCGACACCAGAAATCCGCGCGGACCTACCAACATTTATGTCAATGCCGCTTTCCCGTTTCGACCTCCCCGGACCTTCGCTCCACGATCTGACCCCACGCCCCCCCCCTTCTGCCCCCGCAGCGCGACGATGCAGGGGCGCCCGCAGGGAGTGGGCGGAGGCCCGTGGGGTGGCACGGCGCAGGTTCTCGGACACTGCGGGGGGTATCGCGAGGGAGGGCTGGCCAGAGGCAGGGGGGGCCGCCTTCGGTCCGGCGGAATAAAGATTAGAAGCCTCCTGGAAAAGGTCCGGGCCGATGGGGTCGGAGCATCGCGCATCGCCGATGCATCGGCGACGTCGGCGGTACATCGGCGACGTCGGCGTGAAGGAAATCGGACTACACATCGAGCCGCATCGCCGATGCATCGGCGATGCGTCGCGATCCTCCGATCGCATGTGCTCTGGCCCTACTTATCTGGGAGGCCTAGAAGAATGGGGCCATAAGAGCGAGTGGCCTCAAGCAGTGAAGGTTCGGCTCGAGATCCCTTTCCCATTCTCAGGGCCGCATTCCTCAGGACAGGACCCCATCTTTGACCCCATCTTTCGCACATTTTGTCGGCCGATCGTGGGGTGATGGGAGCACTTCAGCACGCCTGCACACGGTCGCCATCCGATCCAGAGTGGGTCGGGTGCCTGAAACCATGGACGAGAGGAGAAAGGGCCTGCGAGGGACTGCGGGGAAAGAGAGGCTGAAAGGGGCCCCAGAGGGGGGGGGACCGAGGGGAAGGATCCGCAAAAGTTCGCCGGGGGCTCGAACTCCCGCTTCCCAACTCGGGGAAAGTCGGCGTCCAACCCGGACGCAGAGCCCGACAAGGCCAAGGGGGCATCCACAGCCTCAAGACGGCGGGTTGCTCACCCCCCCTCTCCCTAGTCTCCTTGCCAAACCCCTCATCTGGTTGACCACTTCCCGCCGCCAGAGCCCTCCCCCGACACATGCACCTTCCGTCCCTCCAAGAGACCGCTCCCCCCGATGCCCGCCGACACTAACCACCAGAACTTGCAGGAGCGAGCACTCCCACACATGTGCACCGTCCAGAATGCGGCGGGTGTGGCACCAGAGCGCTGGATCTCTGGACAGTTTGCGTGGCCCGCTCGATTATGTATTTTTGTTGCGCAGCAGAATCTTGTCCAATGGTACCCCAACCCTACCATGACAATTCCACAGGTCCAGGAACATGTTAATTAGGAAGCATTCGCCAGTCTCTTCATAAGCGCTACCAAAATATTGTGGGGGAACTGTTGACCGTAAAGCACCACGCCTCCTGCTCTCGTGGGGGGACTTTGGCACCACTCGTCGAACTCCTTGAACGAATTCTATGTTACGTGCCAACTGTCTATATCGTCCCACCCTGTATGTGTATCCCCCCCTTCCTCGATCTCTCTTTCTCTGAAATCGTCTCCCCCCTCCCCCTGGTCTCACTATACCATTGTACTCGTCATAACCTATCTAGGATCTCCGAATGTTCACAGAAGGGAATGGGCGGTGTACTGCAAATGCGAATCAAATGGAGAAACATACGCCCCAAGCGAACACGCGCACAAACGTGCTCACATCGAGCGGCTGCGAAAACACGGCATGCAATATGGGCCCAGCGAGCAGATCTCCTGTCCAGCACGGCTGAGAATAGCCCTTTCCACAAATTCCGAATGCGAGTTCACCACGCAAGAGAGAAAGCGAGAAATAAATATGGGGATAGTGATAGAGAGGGAGAGAGAGAGAGAAACAAAAACAATAGAGAGAGGGATCTACATACATACATACATACATACATACATACACATATATATATATATATATATATATATCTCATATATCTATACATAATAGAAATGAAAGCGAATGCGGTACATATGTGATCAGGGACTGGTTGAGGCAGAGGCAAGAGGTATCCATACGAATAGAGGCAGAGAGGGGGGGCAGGGGTGATGCTCTTAGCGGTCGCACGTTGAAACAATAATTAGGTGTGTAGGGGTGATTTTCGATTGAAGTGCAGGAGCAACGCAACAACCAATGTGAAGGGCATTCATCTCGTACGATCAGATCTGCTTCAGGATAATCTGACAAAACACCACGTGCCCCTTGCGCAGTCGGAATAGCACTGCATGTTGTATGACTGGTAAGCGTTGCACATGATGATGGTTTAGCTTGAGAACGGCTCGGTCCGCAGGCGGAAAGGAGCGAGGATCCTATACATACACAGCGCCCAACCCTCACAAGCTCACGCCGTGGGTGTGAACAACGAAACGAGGAGAGGAAGGCACTTTCGCCTTGCACTCAGTATGAAGATGCCCTTGCATCTCTGGACAACCGAGTCTGGGAATCAGAGGGGTGCAAGACAGGCACACACGCCATGTGCTTCCAGCCCCATACCAGACAAGAAAAACAGGAGGGAGCGCGCTGCCGCGGCCCGCGGCGCTGCAGAGCACACCTCACCATCACTGCATCGCCAGGTCCGCCCTCAAGCGCGATAGAGGGACGTCCTGCCGCCCCGCACCGCGCACCCTGGGATCCGCTGACGTTGATGAGGCGAGTCCCCTCTGAGAAGCCTCCCCCTCGCGTGCGCCAACTCTCTGAGCGCCCCCCCCCCCGCCCGCTCTCCCGGAGCACGCAGCGCCCCTCACGACTCAGTCAAAGCTGCCCTCGCGATGCGACGCGACCGAGTACAGGACCAGAGGATGGCATGAACATCGTTTCTCGGAGGTCCGCGCGGACTTCTTGGATCGGCGCTGGAGCCAGGGGCGGCAGAAGCACCGCCAGCGGGGCCAAACGCCGATCCAACAACTCCGCGCGGAGCTCCGAGGAAAACAGTTGGTGCATCGTTTTGTTTTCGGCGAAATGCGAATCTAGGTGGCGGCATCTGAACCCTACCCCCAGCAACCATCGATCCTCCTGAATCGATGGGAGGCGGCCACGTGTTCGACGAATTCCGAACCCTACCCAAGCCGCCCATCGAGTAGACTTAACTGTTGATCGGCGAGGGCAGCGTTCGAATGTCACCGCCGATGTTTGACGACATGCGAATCGCACCCGCATGGGACGCACAAGGACATACTAAAACGATGCGTCCTCTTCGGAGGCGAGCGTCCGATCGAAACATACAGTATGACCATATCGTCCAGGAAGCGCCCGCCACGGAGCTTATACTGAAAAAACTCTCGGCGCGCGCGTCGCCCCTTGGGGGTAGTGTTAAGTAGTATCCAGGGGGGGTGCCGACGACATGCGAATCGCGCCGCATGCTGCCAACTGGGAGGGCCCCACTAGGTGCTGCCCTGGACACCGAGCTTCGCGCTTCGCGCCTCGCGGCGGGCGCTCTCTTTTACGCGCTCCGCCCGACGAATTTCTAAACCATGCCCAAAAAAAACCCTGCGGGGTCACTGGAGGCCCGACGCTCGATTTATCCAAGATAACTCTAGTCATCTAGGGCAACTCCAACTATCTGGGATAGGCCCACGACGCGCGAACCAGAAATGACCCCTGACCACCCTTAAACTCGATGATTCGGGAGTCGTTGGACGCCCGAAATCATCCAGGATACTCTGGTTCGGGAACTCTCCGGTACGTGCCCCCGAGGCACGAATTTCTTGGATCGGTGGTGGATCCCACTCCCTAGCGCGTGGAGCGCGATGGGGGAGGCGCCGGATGCGTCGCCAGGGAGGTCTCCAATCCAACAAATCCGCGAGGAGCGCCGAGAGTCTATGTTTATGCAGTAATATCTTCTTCGACAGGTGGGCGAGGTTCCTGGTCGTGGTTTTGGTAATTACATTTCCCTCCCTGGGGCGTGGATTTCGTATGCTCGCTGTGACCCCAGGAGGTGGAATCTAACCGGAGCGGGGGTGGCGTGGTGTAAAATAACACATCTTGCGGACTCTTGCTCGCGCGCCGATACCAGCAGAAGAGCACCTCTGGGACTGACATGGGACTGTAACATGGGAGTTCACTCTGCAGTCTGCTCCCGAGCGTTGATGTACCGAACGCCTCTTGATACCCGAGTTCTGGATCCCACGCCGACCTGACAAGGTCGCAGAAAGATTCGCTGGTGTGGCTCGTCGGGACCAAGCATGTAAGTATATAGTCAACGAGTTATGAGACGATGATGCTATTCTCTCAACACAGCGTCCCCCGTCCTGCATTCTCCACCAGTCGCCCGCACCTTCGGTAACGAGACCCCAAGCACACAAATGGAAAACCAATGGCAAACGCCGTGGCCCCTTCTCGCTGAGCAAGTACGCGACGAGCAAAGCGTCTGCGAAGAACCGAAGCAACCCACCGAAGAACCCGAGCAACGGCTGCGAAGGAACCCGATGTCTCCATTCTCTCTCCTTCGCCTCGCGCGCTCAATCTTCATCAATGCTGCCCCTGATCGCTGGCTTCCTGGAAGCTGGGGGGTGTGCGAACTGCGGCTGCCAATGGCTGGGGGGGCTCTGCCACCTCCCGCGAAGCACAGGGCAAGAGGGGAGCGGCAACCAATAGAAACATCATACGATTTGACAAGTCAAGTACTGTCAATTGCTGGTCAACATGAGCAAGAGACAAACAACCCAAACGTATACTATCTGAACTCCGCGCGGATTTCTTGGATCTGCGCTAGGACTCCCTTGCGGCGCATCCCTCGCCGCCGCTGGCGCGCTTTGCGCGACTGGGAGATGGGTCTAGCGACGGTCCAATACAACCTCGTGGACCTCCGACAATGTTGTTTATGACTTCTGTGGTCCCAAAAGTCAGGTAAGACTAAAGTAACCGCCTGCTAGAATTTCACGCGCCCACATCTGCATCGATACGATGCATCTATTTTCCAGCGGCGGCTGTCGACTGCTCAAAGCCACTCGCGAATGTGATGGTCTCAAGATTCACTCAGGAGTGCAGGCTGTGACCGCCACCGTGTTTGCACGATTTGGGGTGTTAGAATGCTCTTAGTTGACGGGTGAGGCTTCTACAATTTTCAAGGTCCCGCCACCCCATCGTCGCGAGATTCCTGTACAATCGCTCCTCCTCGGATTGCTTGCCGGCACAAGGGGTTCGGTCTCCAGACGGCCCGAGATCGATCCAAGACAACTGTCAGCCCCATGACCTCCAAATAATTCGAAGAGAAGTCCAGAGAGGACCCGAAGACACTCCCAAAGTGACCACTAGCGAGACCCTTGGAGTCAGCAGCAATGCGAATACTGCATGTGAGCAAATTCATGATTTATGTGTGTTGCGTCCGAAGTATCCCACCAGCCCTCTGGGTGTCGGTGGTCTAAAGAGCTTCCTTTTCCAACCCCTTTCTTCCCCTTCGGGGAGGGGTTTACCCCTCCCCCTACCCCTCCCCTGGACCTGGACGGGGGGGTCCGCGGGTCGTTGGGGCGTCCAAGACGGCTCCAAGAGCGAAAATGCGGGAACGCAAACAAAACATTGATTCCCCTAGGTTTTGGAAGGATGTTGGCCTCTTCGGGAGCCCAAAAGGCACTCTAGAGGGGGGGCAACGCTATTTTCCACCCCCCCATTCTTTGATTGGTCTCCTCCAACATGGCCCCAAGAGCGCCCCGAAGGCTCCCACGAACATCCCAAGAGCGCCCCAAGAGGGCCCCAAGAGGCCCCAAGAGGCGCCCAACAGGCCTCCAAGAGGCTCCCCAAAGACCCCCAAGAGGCCCCAAAAGGCTCCCCGAGATACGCAAGAGGCCCCCAGGACCGCCAAGAGGCCCCAAAAACGACCCAAGAGGCCCCCAAGCTCGCCATTGTCCTCCTCCTCGTCTGTTTCTTCCTCCTCCCTCCTCCCCCTCCCTCTCCTCCTCCTTTTCCTCCTCCTCCTTCTCCTCCTCCTCCTCCTCCTTCTCCTTCTCCTCCTTCTCGTCCTCCACGTCCTCGCCCTCCTCCGTCTCCTCCTCCTCATCTTCCTCCTCCTACTCCTTCCCCCCCTCCTCCTGCTCCTCCTCGTGCTCCTCCTCCTCCTCCTCCTCCTCCTCCTCCTCCTACTCCGACGACGACGACGACGACTCCTACATCCTCCCCCTCTTGGGGCATATGGCGGCTTACCCCGCCGATTGTTCTTCTGCGTGCTCCCCCGTTTCCCTCATCACCTCCACTCCCCTGGGGTTAATTTCTCGAAAGGCTGGTGGGGATACCTTTTTTGGTTTGCGGCCGCGCGACAACGGTCTGGCGGCGAGAGGCAATGTCCGGGGCGCTGGTGGGGATATTTATGTTGGTCGGCGGCTCCCAGGCGGCGGACAGGGAGCGGAAGGCGTCGTCTGGGCCAGCAGGCGAGGCTGATTAGCTACAACAGGCAACGCACCTGCAGCAATGATTCGCAAAGGCAGCGAATGCGCACACGCATTAAGCAAACTGCTCCACATTAAGGCGAACGCACCTAGGCGCCAGCCACACAGAGGTGAAGAAGCCGCAGTGCTACGCAGCGGAAAAGTCGCCCTGCCGGCGCCAGTCCGCGCAGCCAACCTAGCCGACCTAGCCGATTAGACAGGTAGCACCGAAGCGACACGCTGAAGGCTGAACCACTCAGCGGTTGGTGGGGATTTTTTTTTATTTATACATATATATATATATATCAAAAAAAGTATTTTGAAATAAAGAAATAAATAAATACATAAATAAATAAATAAATACATAAATAAATACATAAAATTATAGATACAATATATATATATATATATATATATATTAAAAAAAAAGGAAGCGCCGACGGCGAGCGGTCACGGTCGGGCTGCGGCCGCGACTAACTAGCGGGCGCGCGCGGAGCCGCGGATCAGGCGGCGAGCAGCGGCAACCCAGGGCGTCTGAGAGGCCAGCGGTCGTGCAATCCCAGGGAGTCTGCAAGGACAGCCCGAGAGGAAAACGTGCAAACGGCAAACCCAGGGGGTCTGAGAGGTCAGCCACCGTGGGGAGCCAGCGCAGCCAAAATGGCGCGTGGGCGTTCCCGCCGTGATCGTAACGAGACGACTGTGAGGTAGGGAACGATCTCCAGGCAGGAAAGTCAGTCCAGGGTGTCTGACGGGCATGGGCAGACAGAGGCTGGTGACGCGGTCCTGCAGGGAAAGTACTCTGACAGCGCCAGCGAACCGTCGCAGAATCAGAACAGGCATCCAAGAAGTGGAAGCGTAGGGCCCCGCGGGCAGAGGTAAGAATCTTCCACTGCTGAGATGCGCCTGCGCCCAGTGGTCCAACGGTCTGGTCTGGACCCAGCGGAGGCAACGGCCACTCGGTGAGAACGCGAGGTCGCTCAGAAACTGCACCGATCAATGTGACCCAGCGCCAAGGCCCACACGCCCAAGCGTGGAGGCGCTCGAGGGACAGGACCGTCGCATCCCCAAGGACGCGTCCCTCACAGCCACATCGTTCCAGGAGGCACGGCTGAAGGCCGCAGTAGCTCGAAGAATCCTGGGAGTGGCGCAGACTGGGCCGGGCGAAAACCGCCAGGTCGGCCACAGCCGCGCGCCAGGCTAGGCCTGGCAGGCGAAAACAGCTACAGTGGGGCCAGGGGCCCCGTAGTCCACTCGTGGGACGCCGTGTGGACGGCATTACTGGCACGCACACATGTATCCAAAGGCAGGAAGTGCGCGTGCCAGGAAGGGCGGCAGAAAGCCGCAAGCGGACGTAGTCCAAAGCGCGGCAGAAGGCCGCTGTCTGTTAGAAGTCCCAGGGTGTAGGCACGCATCAGGAGTGGACATCGGGCGACCCCAACAGCTTAGCCGAGCACAGGATCATTCGGGCCACTGGTGAGAATTACTACAGCGGGGCCAGGGGCCAGCTAGGGTCTGCGAGCTGCGCTCCATCATCACGCAGCGAGGCAGATGGTATTACTGATCGGCACACTTGGGCCCAAAGGCAGGAAGTGTGCGGACCAGGAAGGGGGGCAACAGGGCTGCCACACGGTTGCAACAGCGGGGAAGGGGCAACGGTCGGTCCCAAACAGCTTAGCCGAGCACAGGGCCATTTGGGCCACTGGCAGTCCAAGGAGCGGCTGAAGGCCGCTGTCTGATAGAGGATCCCAGGGTGCAAGCACGTCTCGGCTCTGTCTAGACGCGTCCTCGTCCACTCCTGCTGTCTCGCACGGTGCTCCCCGGGCTGAAGGGGCGTCTTGGTCGGGAGGAGGCTGGTCTCCGACCGCGGGCGCTCCCTCAGCAGCCCTCCCACCTGTCGCCACGATACTGTAGTCAGGGGGGGAGCAATGGGATATGAGGTGGTGGCCGACAGCCCCGGCGACGGGCAATGTGATAGCTTGAGCACGAGCCACGCGCTGAAAGGAATGAGGAACCCTTGCTGCTTCGCGCAGCGCCCCCCGGGCAGAAGGCCCGCTTTCTGCGCGTGCAACATGGCGTGCCCGGGCGGGGCGGCGGGCGCTTCAGCGGTTACCCGGTGCGCCTTGGGCCCTCGAGCTGAAGGCTCGTCCCGTGTGAGAGTCTCAAGCAGAGGGCTCGCCGCATCCGCGACTGTCCAACTGGGGGGCGGGTGGCTGACGAAAGTCTTCGGGGTTGCAGGAGTGCCCAGGGAGTTGACTGGTCGCTGCATCGCCGACGGCGCCGAACAGTCCGCTTGGGGCGTCCCAAGCTGCAGGATCGCTCAAAGCTGCTGCCTCGCTGGGAGCTCCTCGGGCTGAAGGCCCATTCTCTACGTGCGCAGTGCTGTCAACTCCAGGAAGGGCGGCGGGCGCGCGGCGACTCCCGTCGCCGCTCGTGGCCACGTGCCCAGCGGCGCTCCCGACGACCATTGGCGCTGCCTCCGATTCTCGAGCTGAAGGCTCTTCACCTCTGTGGCTGCAGGGTTGGCCCATTCGCAGCTGAAGGCTGCCTCACTCGGCATGGAAGCGTCCAGGGGGGGGCGCTCGGCGGAGTGAAAGCGCAAGCCACTGAGAGGCGAGTCGGATCCCAGGGCAGGCGTCGGCCCGCCCCCCCTCCTGCCGCACCCGCGGTCGCCCTCGGGGGAGGCCCCGACCCTACCTTGAGCTCGTGCCACACGCTGAAAGGAAAGAGGAGCTCTTGCTGCTTCGCGCAGCGCTCCCCGGGCAGAAGGCCCGCCTCCTGTGCGTGTGCGTGTGTGTGTGTGTGCAAAATGACGTGCCCAGGGGGGGCGGCGGGCGGGGGGCGAGAGCCGTTTGGACAGTCGCCACGATACGGTAGCCAAGGGAGAGCAATGGGGAACGATGTGGTGGCCGACAGTCCGGGCGACAGGCAATGTGATAGCTTGAGCTCGTGCCACGCGCTGATGGAAAGGAGGAGCGGCCAGAGTGAAATGAAGCGAAGCAAGGGCGGGCGCGCCCGCAGCTTAGGTGACGACCTTCCACTGTTTCTGGTCTTTCTTGGGTGCGCGGCGAACAGCGCGGCCATTCGCCGCCTGGCGCCCCCTGCCCGCGCCGTCACTTTCACCCAGGTACCGACGCCGCACCTGCGCCCAGTCAACGCCGAGGTCCAGTGTGTCGTCCATGGCCCGCACGTCACAGTTATGGCAGCGGAAGGACGACAGGAAGTTGACGCACGTTTGCTGGTCGTGCCGCCGCGGGTCGAGCGCGCCATTGGAGATAGGCAAGGCGTGCTGCTGGGCGAACGCGTGCCAGGCGCCTGTGAACCTCGCTCCCAGGGAGGCCTGAAGCCGCTTTATCGTCTCGCCAGGTGTCTCCCCGGGGAGGTCCCACTGGATGTCGCCGATCTTAGTTTGTATATAGCTGCTGTCCCGTGTCTGGGTCTAAAGGTTCTGGACAGTGACGCGCGGCGGGACCCCCTACCAGGGGCGGGGTGGTCAGCGGCTGGTCCTCGGCGCGGCGCCTGCTGCTGCTTCTGCGGCTGCTGCTGCTGCGTCCGCCGCCTGCCGTCTGCCGCCCACCCGGCCCGCCAGCGCGGTCGGCGTCGTTGGCCAGGTTTCGGCCCAGGGGCAGCGGGGAGTCTGGGGGGTGGCCATTCACAGAGGCTAGGCAGGGCGTCCACCCGCTGCCACGGCGACGCGCTGGGGGAACGCGCCGGCCGCGCTGCCGTTGCTCCTCGGCGCCCGAGCTCGCGCCCTTGCCTGGGATGGGGGGGGCCAGGGCAAGTGATGTCAGCCAGGGGAGCGAGGCGGTGGGTGGTTGTCTGTTCCTGTTCTTGCCCGCGCCCCCTTTTCTGCGCTGGCGCTACTTCCGCGCCCTCCCCGTGGACGGCCGGCAGCTCCTGCTCATCGGGCTCTTCCGGCCCTGCTCCGCATGCTGCTCACGTACGCTGCTCTGCGACTGTTCCGACTGGTTGGGCCCGCCGCCGGAATCGTCTATGGCTTCGCGGGGCGCGGCGGCAACTGGTGCACGGAAGTCTGGCGGGGCCTTGCGGGTTGGCGCGGGCCGAGCGGTTGGCCGCCAAGTAAAGGCCGAGTCGCCTCCAGCAGCTGGGGCTGAGAGGGCCGCTGCACTGTGGTAAGCGGGGGCAGGCCCCTCCCGTTGACGCTCGCCTTCAGACCCGCGCACGCCCTCGCCCACGAGCGCGCCCCCGTCTGTCGCAGCGTGACTTTCGTCATGCGTGGGAGTGCTGCGGGTCGCACCTGGCCCGGGCACGTTGCCAGACGCCGTTTCTTTCGCCAGGGCGGGGGTCGCCTTCCTCAGCGTGGTCCGGCCTTCGGGCGTGAGTGGCTGCGGTTCGCTGTCCGTTCGGGCGGATTCGCTGACAGGGGAACGAGGGCGAATGGGCGCGAAGGGGCCCTTCTCGATAAGCTGGCGGATGGCCTCGATGTCCTGCCTCTGCAAGGCGCGTTCGTGGTCACCCGGCAACGGGTCTTCGAGAGTGCCAGGGGCGGCGGCGGGCGGAGCCGCAGCGGGGTGTGGTTGGGTCTCGCCGCCGTCCAGCTGTATCGACAGCCCCAGGCTTTGCAAGTAATGGGCTCCGTGTCGACCGTCGGCCACGGGGATGGCCTCGGAGGCGCTGGCTGGAGGGTCGTTGCCGATCGCAAACACGCGCCCGTCTGTGGCCCGCGCGCACGCACGCTCCGGCGTGTACTCCTGACCCTCGATGCTGCGAAGAGGCTCGGGATAACCTCCACCATCCGCTCGGGGGGGCGTCGTGGAAGTCTTCTCGGGGGGAGACTGGTCATCGACTGCGGGCGCTCCCTCAGCAGCAATCCCACCTGTCGCCTCGATACTGTTGCCAGGGGGGGAGCAATGGGCTATGACCTCATAGCCGAAGGCTGCTCCTCTCTGCCTGGAAGGGCGTGCCTCTCTGTGGCCACTGCTGCCAGGCCCAGCCGACTCTTGCTCTCTTCCGCCTGGCTGAAGGCCAGTATCTTCTGTGAGGTTAGCAGCACGGAGGTTGGGCACGGCTCTGGCGTCAGCGCCCGTGCCTCCAGGGAGAGGGGTGGCGGAGTCAAGGCAAAAGCCGTTCGATCTGTTCGGAATGCTGTCTGCGCCTGCCGCGCAGTCCTCGGCGCGCCTTCCCAAGGGTGGTCCCATGGCTGGGATGGCCCCGTCAACGTCGGAGTCGGCGTGGTCGGTCGGTCGCGCGCAGCTGGCGCGAGGGCCCACCTGATAGGGAGGGCCCAGCACGGGAACACCAGGAGGCCCAGGAGGGTCGAAATCGTCTCCGTTAGTGGTCACAGCCTCTGAGCCTCTCTCTAAGTCCATTGGCACTGTCTCTGGATCTCGAGCTGAAGGCTCGTTACTCCTGTGATTACCAGATACGCCTTGGACCCTCGAGCTGAAGGCTCGTTCCGCGTGAGAATCTCGAGCTGAAAGCTCGTCACATCCGCGACTGTCCGACTGGGGGGCGGGTGGCTGACGAAAGTCTTCGGGGTTGCAGGAGTGCCCAGGGAGTTGACTGGTCGCTGCATCGCCGTCGGCGCCGAACAGTCCGCTCGGGGCGCCCCAAGCTGCAGAATCGCTCCATGCTGCCGTCTCGCTGGGAGCTCCTCGGGCTGACGGCCCATTCTCTGCGCGCGCAGTGCTGTCAACTCCAGGAAGGGCGGTGGGCGCGCGGCGACTCCCGTCGCCGCTCGTGGCCACATGCCCGGCGGCACTCACAGCCTCTGAGCCTCTCTCTAAGTCCATTGGCACTGTCTCTGGATTCTCGAGCTGAAGGCTCGTCACTTCTGTGGTTGCTCGATGTGTCTTGGGCCTCGAGCTGACTGTCGCCACAGTACTGTTGCCATGGGGGGGACAACGGGGCGGGAGGTGGTGGCTGACGGCCCCGGCGACTGGCAATGTGATAGCTTGAGCTCGCGCCGCCGCAGGTTGAACCCCAACCGCTTGACGCTGATAGGAAAGTGGAGCTGTAGGAACGCCTGTCTGCCTGTCTCTGATGCACGAAACACCGTCCCTCCCAGGATGCACGTCCGCAACGTCCCTGGACCACTGAGCTCTCGACCCCGTCCCAACGCCCTGGACCCCAGAGCTCTCGACCCCATCGCCGCGTCCAGGACCCCTGAGCCTGCCAGGTGTCTGGCAGCTAACGGCTGCGCCGGCGGTGGAAGAAACTACAGGGAAGCACGCGCCGTCGTCTGAAAGGACTCCAGGTTGGCAGCTAACGGCTGCACCGGCGGTGGAAGGAACTCCAGGGAAGCACGCGCCGTCGTATCTCCCAGGACCCACAACCGAAGCGTCATCGAGTCCCTGAGCTCTCGACCCCATCCCAACACCCAGGACCCCGGAGCTCTCGACCCCATCTCTCAGTCCAGGAGCCAGGAGACCGCCAGGTGTGCGCCCGGCGAGGACCCCTTCGTCGCCATCCACAAGGGACACTCCAGGTTGGCAGCTAGCGGCTGCATCCACGTCCGCCGGCGGGGCGCCGGCGGCATCGGCAGCAGCGGCAGCGGCGGCAGTGCCGCCGGCCAGCGCGCCGTCCGCCGTCCGCCACGCCAGGTCCAGCCCCGCGGGAGCCCCCGCCCGCGCGCCGTCCGCCGCCGCCGCCGCCGCAGGGCCGGTGGCAGCGGCAGCAGCGGCAGCGGCGGCGGAACCGCCGGCCAGCACACCGTCCGCCGCCGCCACCGCCGGCGAGGCGCCAGCAGCGGCAGCGGCGGCAGCAGCAGCAGCGGCGGCCGCGGCAGCCAGGGCCGGGCCCCCAACCCCGCCCAGCGCCGGGCCAGCCGAAGCAAGGCCAGCCCGCAGGCCGCCGGCGGCCGCCGCCGCCGGCGAAGCGCCAGTCGCGGCAGCAGCGGCAGCAGCGGCGGCCGCCGCCAAGAAGGCCCCACCGCCCAGGGCGGCAGCGAGAGCAGCGGCCTCGAGGCCGGCCGAGGCCGCCGCCGCCAGCGGCCCGCGGGAGGCGGCCGCGGCGGCAGCAGCCGGAGCAGCGGCGGCCAGAGGACCAGAAGGAGGAAGACCGCCGCCGGCCGCCGCCGCCGCCAGGCCGCCGGGGGCGGCAGCGGCCACGGGCCGGGCCCCGGCCGGACCAGGGCCGGCCGCGCCGGCGGGGCCGCCGCCGCCAGCCGCCGCTGGCGTGCCGGCCTCAGGGCGAGAGGCGGCGGCCGCGGCAGCAGCAGCAGGACCGGCCGCCGGGGCCAGGCCGGGCGGGGCCCAGCGGGCGGCCGCCGCCAGCCGCTGGCGCCGGCGCAAGGCAGCGCCGGACAGCGCCGCGCCGGGGGCGGACATGCGCGCGGCCCGGGCGCCGCACCTGAACCAGGGGCGGGCTCGAGCCGAGACGGCTTGAGCCAGAGGCTTGAGCCAGAGGGCTACGGACTGGTGGGGATTTTTTTTTTACAGCCGCAGGCGGAAGCGCCAGCGGCGGGAGGTCGCGAACGGGCCACGGTGGGGATACGCGAAGCGTTTAGAATTTTGACTTCTTGTAGTTCGTCAGCGTTTTCCCGACGCGACTTGTAGTTCGGCATGTGGGGATGCTCGGCTGTTTTGGGCGCTTCAAGAACGCTGAAGAACTACAAGAAGCGCCCAAAACAGCCGAGCATAGAATGTGCGTCCCAACAAGGTCCGAAGACTACCCGAGAACCTCCCAAGACAGCTGAGGAGGACGTCGTGGTGGCCCCGAGATCAGCCCAGCTGGATGGTTCAACCAAAACTCTTCGAGAGAACTCGGTAGAGTCATGGCGCCCGAGACGGCCCCAAGACGACCCCACGAGCCTTCAACGGATCCCCAGCAGGCCTCTCAGACGGCCCGGAGAGGACCCCAGAAGACATCCAATATGCCTTCAAGAGGAAGAGGGGAGCAGGGGGAACGGGAAGGAGTGGAGGGGAACATAGCCGCGGAAAAGGAGGGTGTTTAAGACACGCGCCTGTTCAGACAAGACTGTGCACTTCACCGGGTCTCGAACTCGCCCTCCTTCCTGCTGCGCTGCTGCACTGGCACGGCGGAGAGGTCTGCCGCAGGCATCTGGATTATATGCTGGCGCACCAGAAAAATCACTCTGCGAGGCGTCCCTCACTCGCTCCCTGAGGCCCAACACAAAACACGTACACTATTTTCGGGGCGACGGAAGACTGGGGCTTGGGGGACTTGGGTTGGCCTGGCGGGTCCGTCAGGAAAATTACGAGGCCCAATCTGGAATTTGACGCGCACTCCCGCTGCAGACAAACCACGACATCTGGACCGTCAACATTCAGGACGGGCCGTCAGAAAACGTCGGCGAACCCCAGTTCCGGCAAACTCGAATCTCACGCGCCCCTCTATTTACACGGCAGCCGCTACCGCTACTGGGAAAAACTGGCAAGGCTGCACCGCGCGCGCAGGCATCGACTCTCTGGCCGTCGGGCCAAGGCGCGTGAGGTTCCTGCACGGTCGCGCGCCTGTCCGTCGACTGTCCCGCCCACCGCACGCGCGCGCGCGCTGGGGGAGGAACTTTGGTCTTTCAGTCGCCGAGTTCCCGTTTGCCGACTCCTGGTTCCCTTCTCGGTTCCTGCCTCCTGGTTCCCAGTTCCTGGCGCTATTCCTCCATATAGTGGGGGTAGGAGGACGATCGGCGCAAGGAGGACCTGCCCTGTCCGTACTGGCACGCAGGGGCAAAACCGTGCGAATCATGCCCCTGCTAGTCAGGTTGGTCAAACGCTGGCTAGGGCCCAGAATGAGAAGGATGCATGCAGACAAGTGAACCCCAGCGGGAGTGTCCGATACCCCAGCGTCCAACGGACCTGCAGGGGTAGGTTCGCCCGTGGTCGCAGACAGTGGAGCTCCACGCACGTGACGCCAGGACAGGAGCAGGACCTTTTGGACCTTTTGACCAAGCACGGAGGCGTGCGCGAGAGAGAGAGAGAGAGAGTAGGGGAGGAAGGGAGGGGAGGAAAGAGGGGGAGGAGAGCGAAACGACCGCCCGAGCCAGGGAGTCCACCTGCCGCAACAGGCAAACACCCCGGACCTGCGCAAGCCAGCCTACAACCCTCCAGGACAGGAGCAGGAGGGAAGAGGGAAGATGAGGGAGGGGGAGGCGAGAAGGGTAGGATGTCTGGATGAACATCAATTTGTCGGATCATTCGGTGTGATTCGTCCCACCGTCAATCGAAGGACATTTAAACCTGAGACACGTGCTACAACTGCCAAATCCTCTTGTACCACTCGGGCATCGTTTCGTCGTCCACCGTCCACTTTTATTTTGCAATCCCGCACGCTTACAATATCGACGAGGGATATGCAGGCTGTTGGAAACACCCTACATGTGGCTGGCTGGACTGAATGGGTTCTAAGATCGCACAGCATCTGAAATGTATAAAACGGTGCGGGACAAAAGACAATCTAACAGAAATTCCTCGAGAACTCCCAACGCGTCGCAGTGCCTTTCACCTTCTGAGAGCTCCCCAGAGCCTCCCAAAACCTTGCAAGACCACCCAGGTCCTTCCAGAGCCTCCCGCATCCCAACGCCTAGCAGATGCCTCCAAATGCTTCCCAGGCTCTCACAGGGCCTCCCAGGACCCCCACGGGCATCCTAGAGCCTTCCGAAGCCTCCCGAGGAAACCACCGAGAGGCAAGGCAAGCACCAGCGGATTGGCTTGCCACAGTGTGTACCCTCTCGTCTTTTCTACCGCAAGCGGGCGTCGCACGTGTCGAGATGGTTCGAGCATGGCCCTCGAGGGCCTCGACAGGGCCAGAGAAGCTCCAAAATCCGCCGACCCTGTCGGCGTATGTGAGGGGCGTGTCCGTTCGAGTCGTCGTCTCCGTCATTCGTTAGTCGTCGTCAGTCGCCCCCTTTCCCTGGGCACGTCGCTCCTCCCCCCTCCTTTCCCTTGGCCCTCCTCCTCAAGCGCTGGGCCCGTCGCCGCTCGCCCCCACCTTCCATAGGCCCTCCTCCTAAAGCGCGCCAGCCAAAGCGAAATTGAGCAACGTTGGATTTGACTCGAAAGGAAACCCCTTCCCTTTGATCCCTCCCTCGCCGGGAGAAGGGGTGGGGTCCCGGGGGGGGGGGGCCCTGAGAAGGTCCCGGGTCAGATACGACTCCCCCCCGGCGGGTCCCGGGGCCCACAAAAGTCCCAGGACGGGCCAACAGTGCTCCAAGAAGCTCCCAAGACGGGCCAAGAGGACCCCCAATCGCCGAACGATCTGTCCAAGACGCCTTGAAGGCCTCCAGACGGCCCAAGAGCCCTGCAAGACGCCCCAAGAGGCCGCCAGGAGCACTCCCAAAAGAGCCCCAAGAGGAGAATCAATGATTTCCCATTGGTTTTTGAAGCATGTCGGCGTTCTCGTCTCTTCCGCTTCCCGACGCTCCGAGACGGCACAAGCCCCCCAAATCGCCCCAAGACGGCCAAGAGGGCTCCAGGAGGGACCAAAAACGGCCCAAGAAGGCCCCAAGATGGCACAAGACGCCTCCAAGACGGCCCAAGACGCCCCCAAGACGGCTCCAAGAGGATGCCCAGACGAGGGAACAGAACGAACATCTCGAGCCCTCGGTCCCGAGATGCTCCAAGAAGGAACCAAGAGGTCCCCAAGAAGACCCCAAGAGGCCCCCAGGAAGCCCCGAGAAGCCCCCAAGAGGCTTCCAGAGGCCCCCAAGAGGCTCCCAAGAGGCACCGAAACTGTCCCCCAGAGGCCCCCGAGAGCGCTTCGAAGAGGCCCCACGAAGCACCCATGAGGACTCTGACCCACGTCAGCGTCGTCGTCGTCGTCGTCGTCGCCGCCGCCGTTGTTGTCGTTCTCCCTGCAGGGTCGGCTGCACCGGCCGTAAGACCTTTGCAATAGGCCTTCTGGCAGTGCCTGAGGAAGCCCACACAAGCGGGGCACCAATAGGGCACTGAGGCCTCCCCGGGGTAACGCCACGACCACGGAACGCCACGACCATGTCACGCTACCTATCGAATGCCACGCCACCGATCGAATGCTACTGATCGAACGCCACGCTACCGATCGAATGCCACGCTACAGATCGCCTTTGGGCGCAACCTCCAGGGCTCGGCTAATTAGCGATACGCCGCATGCGCATCCGAGGCACCCACTCCCACGGGCATCGTATCTCTGTTGCATCTGGCTCTCGAGAGCGCCGAACCACGTCAGATCCAAACAACAGCCGCCAGAGCAGACACGACCCAAGATAACCCAAACTAGAAGAACACATGGTCGAATACATCGGTGCACAATAGAAGGACAAAAGGACAGACTGGATCCGACAAAGAAACCACATTAGAGCAGAACGACAAGGACAAGAGGGAGGTGAGCATATAGCATACAGCAAAGGCGCATTCGGAGCCTACGCTTGCAGTAGTTTTGGCTGCGGGCCTTTTCCTCACGTCTCACGTTTCCTCTTCTGATCCCAGGTCCCATGGCCAGCGACAATGGCATCTAATCGTTGACTGTTCGTGTCCCCACTACTTGAATGCGAATGGGCCGGCGGAGCATGCAGAGCGATCGAACAAAGAGAGCACGATCCCAACCAGATAGGCTTACAACTCACTGTCCAGCAATGCCCTCTTGAGAGTGACGTCATTGTGGCGCTGGATGTTGCACAACTCCTCACGGCACTGTATGATAAACTTTGTCCAGAAGTTCCACATTACATCACCATCTCCGCCGTGATGCTTGAGAAAAGCCCACACTGAATGTTGACGGGGCCCGTTCACATAAACCTTGTCCGTTAGCATGAAGCTAGAATTCTGCGTGTTCACTGATATGCCGAAACCCTCAGCGAATTGTCTTATTTCAGCGTTGGTTCCAGGCTCCTGATGACCAAACTGATTCGAAGGGAACGCCAATATCCTTAGTCGACTGTCCTTCTGCAGCTCGGCAAACTCAGCGTAAGCCGCTTTAGTCTTCCCTCAGTGGCTCGCGACATTCGTGACGACGACCTTCTCTACCCCCCTCAGGTTCTCGAACGTGAAGTCGTTCCCGTCGATGTCCCTCGTGCTGAGCCCATACCACTCGGCCGCCGTGCACGAGCCTGCCGCTGCCCGTCGGAGCGCTAGCGCCGGGAGGAACAGTTTCCAGCCAAACATCGCACGGGGGGGACAGCTGGCCCTCGGCCCACGAACAGGCGGAGGCCCAGGCAGCGCCCCCGTAGCGACAACGGCTCGAAGCTTGGGATCGCTAACACAAACCGCGCTACGGATTGACGCCTCTCCACTCGGCTCGCTTCATGCCGAACGTGAGGGCTGCGGCGTGAGGAGGTATGAGATGCAGGGGCACACAAGCTCACCCTCACCTTTGGGACTGGGGCTTGTGATGA